ACTAATTTCCTGTGTTTGTTGTAGTTTGTTAGTAGTTTTAAATTTGGGTGGATTGTATTCCACTTGATACCATCCTTCAAATGGACACGAAAACAGGCCGTGGAAAACTCGTGTGGACCTACTCTTAAAATTCGTTTGTTAGTATTGATGTTTTTAAACTTTCAACAATTCACTAAACTAGCAAAGGCTTAATGAAATTAGGTGTAAGCTACTCTGCTGTTATGTTGGATTGTATGACATTGAAATTTTAAAATTAAAATTTGAGAAATATTAAATTAAAGTTCAAATATTATATATATATTTTTTAATTCCAAAATACTATTTTCATGCAACTAACATAATATGAATGAATGTTCATGACCGGACATGATTGATTATAGCAATTAATTAGATGAAAACATTGTTGTTTTGGTTACTTAAACAATATGTGCGTCTAGTGCTTCAGTCTTCAGCAATATTATTCTGTTACATAACTGAAAGAAGTAATCCCCAATTACAAGTTTTATTGATCATTTTGAAATTTGTTTGGAAAGAGTCGAGCAATTCTATCACCTTTTAACATACTTACTCTGTCCCAAAATACATGTTCTGCATGGAAAATTCAACTTTTTATAGTAGTGGAGTTTTAATAGCTTTTTATTGTATTGATAAGAATAAAGTTTCAAATATATCATTATTAAAAGACAAAGTAGTACTTCATAATTAGTGCAATTATTTAGTTAAAAGGATAGTTTAAAAATGTTATAAAAAATAATATATTTAATTTTGAGATGTGATATGTATTTTTGAGACATACCAAAATAAAAAGATGGATAAGTATTTTAAAAAAAAAGAAGGAGTAAAAAAATTTTATTGTTTGATTTACATCAACACTCACTTTAAGCTATCGACAAAGAGCATAACATATTAAATTGACTTTAATTAATTAATCAATTAATGGAATTGTTCTATAGGGATGATATAGTGTTAAACAGTGACCCCTCCAAATTTATGGTGGTGATGTCAGTTCCATTATAGTTATATATACACTGTCTACCTTGAAGATTTCCAATTTGAAAATTTTAAAACTTGCGGATGCGACAAGCCTTTCTACCTGTTCGGGTGTCCCATCGTCACTCTTTCAATATTCCTGAAAACTTGTGGATACCGGTATTAACAAATAATGATTTCGGGTATTACATACCTACATAGATTTTGAAGACATTCGGGCTCGAGCCTAGGCGGGTTACGTAGCCGCCTAATACCTCAGCTAATAAAAATATTTTAAGATATTATAATTGTCTAATATATGATATATTGTAATTATTTTTTTATTAAACACTAATTCAAAAAAATTTAACACTAATTTTAAAAAATTTATCTCCTAAAATAACTCTTCTTTTTTTGTTTTCTCACTCCTCTTCATCATTCACCCCTTTCATTAAACTTTAATTAAGAGAGAAATTATTTATCTCCTAAAATATTTCATTTTTTATTTATTTATCTCCTAAAATATCTCATTAATATTTTATTTCTTTGTCTATTTTATGTATGTTTTTTTTTTTTACACCAGTACTATATATATTTAATATTTTTTTAGTAAGTTGCACCACAATAAATATTTAGCCGTTGTATGGGAAAGTAAAGAAACTTTTCATATTCTCTTTTTTTAGATTTTTATTTTATTTATTTAATAATTAATATATTGCATATTATGATATGAAAAGACCTTCAAAAAGCAAGAAGGATGATTTTTAATTAATTATTATTTAATAATTAATATATTACATATAATGATATAAAAATGTCACTTTTTATTTTTCGCCTAAGGCCCCGATTTACATCGAGCCGCACTAGAAGACATACATTTAAAACATAGATCAATTTTATTTAACCATTTTAATTCTAGAAAATCTAAGAATGTTGGCAACACTACAAATAGAAATTAAGATGAAGAAATAGTATTTCAATTTCGTTTTATTTGTTTGAAAAATTGTTATTTTCCTTTTCTGCTTTGGTAGATTACAATTGTTTAGATCTAGCCGAATAAAACAAAAAAGGGCATAAAAAAATACTCACACTTTAATAAAATTTTTAAAAATGCATACAATTAAAGTGAAGTTCATCTGAAATTTGATTGAGATCCTTGTGGGATTTGTTCAAGGTTGGCTGATTTTGTTAAGTTGGAAGATGATATATGTTCATTACTTTTCGAAACATAGGTCATTGAATCGATCTCAATTGGATTCACGGAACTTGGTCATCTTAATAGTTGTTATCGAAACGATGCATTTAAATATGGAATTAAAGAGAAATAGCATCGTCCTCTTCGCTCTCTCCCGGAGCTATTGCCGGAATTACGATTGCATCTGTTGTATTCATTGTTTGCTTATCTGGGTTTAAGTTTCTAACGTTAATAGCATCCTAAACAATCTCATAATTAACAATGTTAGCTTCAGCCTTCACACAAGCAGTTCATATGGTGCCAGGTCCATGAATATTTGTTTGACATGAGAATTATATGTTTTACAAGCAGGAACACATGCATGCAGTTGTAAGAAAGTCAATACATGGATTTTGTAATTAATCATTCACATGCAACATTAAAGAAATTCTTCTACAAGAGACCTGTTCCAATTATGATTATCCCTCCAGTTCTTTGTAATTTTTTTTTGGATGGTGATGTCATTTCACGGTGTTAAATGTTTTTAATTTAAAATTAAGATTTCCTCTTATGCACTAGACGGTCCAATGCGTTGTGAGAGAGTGGAGACCATTCAATATGAACGTGAATCCAATCCAACAGACAAAGTGGAATGGTCGAGATGATCTCCACGCTCCCTTTTATACCTGACCATTTCAAAAGAAGATCTGAATTCTTTTAATATATATATATATATATATATATATATATATATATATATATATATAATATATGAGTTTGTGATTTAAAATTAATGGAAAGTTGAGAAAGATTTGGAAACGATGAGGAGGGTACAGTTTTATGGAGCACAAGCTTACCCATTCAACTAAAAAAAAGATGTATGGTTGGACTAGCACTCATTCGATCAGCGGAAGGAATTGATCCAATCTTATTCAATCTTATATGGATCCAATCTTATTCAATCTTATATGGATCCAATGCGTTGGGAGAGAGTATAGACCATCCAATATGGATGTGAATCCAATTCAACAGACAAAGTAGAATGATCGAGATGATCTCCACCCTCCCCTTTGTACCTGACCATTTCAAAAAAAGATCCGAATTCTTTTAATTTAATAGTTCGAACCACTTCAACCATACATCTTGCTCTTACAAAATATTAAATAAGATTGGATCCATTCCCTCCACTGATCGAATGAGTGCAGTCCATATATATATATATATATAATATGAGTTTGTGATTTAAAATTAATGGAAAGTTGAGAAAGATTTTTGATCTTTTACAACCAAGAAAAAAAATTAATAATAATAATACAAGTGGAGTAGTTAATAATTTAGAGAGTAAATGCATGGGAAGTCAAGTGATCAGGAAACATTATTTTCATAATAAAGATTGCTTTCTGATCCAGTTCGTATGCTGCAAACTGCAATGATCAACAAAATTTCCTATTTAACTTGAACTAGATGTTGTTGACAAATTATTTATTTATTATTAAGATTAATTGTCAAAGTTTTATTTCATTAACATAAACTTTGCTAATAAATATTACGTAATATAATTAGGTCCAACATAACACAACTAGACAAGTTTATTTATTAAAGGTTGAAGATTTGCATAGAGGAAGCTAGGCACGCATATAACCTTGCGGCATAGAAAGAGTCGAAAAATTAAAGCATCATATTTGACTGCAGAGTCTTCTTGAGAAATTTCAATGTAATTTTGTGGTGTTTAGGTGGCGATGTGTATTGATTTGGAGATAAAAATCGATTTGTTTGATCTTAAAAGGGCTTGCGAGAGAGAAGAAACTAAAACTCACTGGTCCACCCAGTTGTAGGAAAGCGAGTCTTTTTGGGAACATTTGATGAAATAATCCTCATTTCACATTGTTTGGTGTTAACTTTCAAATACATGAATGCCTAGTTTGAAATGACTGATGTCTCTTGTTTATTGCAGTTTTTGATCCATTTTTACATCTATATAATACATTGAAAGATGCTGACCGTATATAAAGAATACCATTTTCTATTTGATGTGTTCTCCCATCTTTAATTAATTAATTAATTAATTTTTTTTTTTTTTGGGTAAATTTAATTGATTTCTTTCTTGAATGTAATACCTTAACTACTAATTTTTTTTTTTTTTTTTTTTTTTAAAAAAAAAAAAATGCATTATGACTGAGAATAATGCTTGGGTCCAATCCAGTTGGATGAAACTTTATCTAACCCGCTGATGTGACCCAATAGATCTAAAATAAGTGTCCAAAAGCAAAAACTAGATTTAAAACACATGTTCAAAAACAAAAGTTAGACAATGTCCAATTTAATTTTAAATTTAATTTTAACAATTGTCGCACATTTATTAGACTACATTAACAGGTTGGATGAACCTAAATTGGACCCAAACATTATTCCATGATATATATTCGTAAAAAATAAAGTAGGCACATTTGATGGAGCAAATTAAGTGAGATGTTATTAATCTGTTAACAGATATGTTTGCTAGTGAAAGAAGGCCAAGTCTAATGCTTTTGTCATCAAACCTATTGTTTGGGAATAAGTTGACAAAGACTATCATCATTGACGTACCCTCCCTATCTTGCATTATTTGTTTATTTGATGACTTGCAACACCAAACTGCTCTCTGCCATGCATACAATTACTACCAAGATGTCTATTAGCATTAACTTAATTTGCATGTATTATCCAACTTATAACCAATATATATTCTACATTCAACTCTGGAAGCAACTGCTTCATGAAATTCCATCCTCCAACTACTATATATTACTCTATTGGTCTGCAATATGTGCTTTGCTTTAAATTCCTTCTTTACTTACTCTGCTTCTGCGAAGAAAAAGAAAAGAAAAAAAGAAGAAAGAACATGATGATCATGTAATCATAATTCTCTTGACCAATTTTAATCATTTAAATTAGATAATATTACACACATGTAAATAGTAATATTACATTCTTGATCACTCAGTTGAATCCTGGAAAGGCTCTTACGTCAAGCATAAAAATGTAAAACAAACATATTATCAACATAGCATGTATCAGCCCCTTATTTATTGTTATCCCTTTTGCTGATGCCTTCAAAAACACACACTATGATATATATATATATATATATATTGCATGCTGAATTTTAAGAATCCCAAATGGGGCCAAAGGCAGCAATGCCTGCAGCCTTGCATGAATTGACAACGTCTCTGCTCCCTTCAGGATTGCTGGTTACAATCACAACTTGAGCACCCCATCTTTTAGCAGCATCCACGCTCATTTGAGAGACGTTAGGCCTTCCAAGCACAGCAGTGTCATGGACAATCACTTTCTCCTTAGGGTGTCCACTCATCATCTCTTTGATTTCCTTCCCAAAGTTCTGTTCAATCCCTTTGGCCACCCAAAGCACGCAAACATCAGCCGAACATGGCTGCAACAGGAATGACAAGAACACGCATATTCCTGAACCAGTTGCCACCAGCAGAACCCTGTCATACATGTTGGTAAGATAAGGCAAGCCTGCGAAGTGCACCTGTCGAACCCATAGGTGGCTTGGTGGGTTGGAGACCAAGGACTTTGTGAAGTCACCAACTGCACCAGCCAGCATCATGTGCTCTTGCTTTCCATCAGAAATGATGCCAAAGGCATGCCATTCTGACAAGGGCGATGGACTAATCCTCCCCAGGATACCCGATTTCACTCCTCCTTCAAACTTGATAATGGAGGCGTGGCCAGAAGGCGCAGAGACCTTAACCGGGACACGTCTCACAGTCAGCCATGGGATGATAATTAGTAATGTAATGGCCGCTGTTAACCAAAATTCCTGCTGTTTAATCAACCTAGAACCAAGTTCATTGCTGTAGGATTTGGTGTGTGGATCATAAGAGATTGTGAGTATGATAAAGGCCCAAAGGAGTCCAAGAGATGTCCATCCAGCAAAACGATGAGTCCTTTCGAATATGTTATGATGGAGATGTCGGACAAGAGGGAATGCTGCCAAACAAGATAGGGAGAGAAGAGACAGAATGGTGGAGGCAACAGCAATGATCTCAGGTGAAGTGTTGTCTCTGTCCTTGAGAGTGAGGACTAAGGCATATACAAGCCACGCCACAGATGAGACACCACAGCCACTGTGTATGCCACCAAGACACTGCAAGAGGGATGTGGTGGCTGTCTTGAGTCTTAGAGGCACCCATGACCAACCCAAGACGTTCACCGCCAGCCAGAAGACAACTCGCAGGCAGGCCTCACTTCGGCAGAGTGTCAAAGCAAGAATGTTCCCAATAGAGAACAGAGCAGCTCTGTTCCTTGCATATGGGAAATGCCCAATTGCTGCAAGGACCAAGCCAGTGATGTTCAAAGCCAAGCAAACTACGAAGAGTCGCTTGTAGACAGTGAACAAGCCTTGATCAAGCAATATAACAGACAGTCTTGACTCTTTTGGCTTAGTAGGCTTGGATGGTTGTTCGCGTTTGCTCTTGGCAGGTGGAAGAGGGAGTGGAATTGCCTTCAGTTCCTCCTCCTCGTAGTGGCCTTCTTCTATGGCCCTCAACGGGTCATCGTCATCTTCATCATCATCGAGGTCCAGATCACAGAAATGGCTACTGGCTCGACTCATGGTCCTTTCAAGCATAGCTGAGGATGGGACAATTTTGGAAGAGCTTCCCCAAGGAAGCCAAAATCTTTTGCTGCCGCGAGGAGGCTCATTCATGACGCGAGTTGGGATGGCAAATGGATCTAAATGAGGTTTGATCTCAAAAGACACACCTCGGCAGCTGGAAAACCTTCCAAATGTTTCTTGGTTTGCCATTGTTTTCACTGATCACGAGGACCAAAACAATAGCTTAATTGTAAAATGTAACTAAGAATTAAGGTATAGAGCTTGAGAGATGCTTGTTCTAGCTGTTGGTGTGTAATGAGAATGTTGAGAACTCTATTTATAAGCGTGTCTATGAAGCATAGATGACTTGGTCCTAAAGAAATATAATCATTTGTTTTCAAGCTAGTGTGAACTTTTACTTGGTCAATAGTTCAATGGAATGGATATAACCAACGGGTTCTAGTGGTATCAGGTCCTTACTTCTTAAAGAGAGATTAGGGGTTCAAGCCTTCATAAAATTTTGTAAGAATGAGTATCAACTATGAAAAAAAAAAAAAAAAGTTCAATGAATATAAATTTTATGCGTGTCTGTGTAAGTGTGTAGTGTCGACTTTTTAGTTCAAAGTGTTGTGACGGTTTTACATTCTGTAACACATTTCAGGCGGACCAAGACTAAGACCAAGTCAACAGTGGACTTGCTTGTGCTAGTACGTTAGAACTTGTGTCTTGCTTTGTTTCGTTAATTTCAAACTTAATTTGACGAAGTTTGTGAGATGTATTGCTTCCATCGATCGGATTTTGACTTGGTCAATATGATAATTAATTAATATATATTATTTTAATTAGCGTACGTCCTTCTCCTTATTGATTCTCTCCACCGTCCCATGAATTCTATTTGATCTTACCACTTCTCTTCCCTAATTTATACTCTTAATTAATTTAGAAGCGAAATGTCCTGTCTTGTAATATGAAGTTTGCATGAATTAGCTGGATATAAAGCCAAACATAGATGAACGAACTTCACATAAAATACTTTCCCATGGATTCACATTAGTGTAGCTGGAGACAACATTCCCACATAATAATGGTTTAAAATCATATAATGCTTTTATGTGAAGTTGATTACGGCTGTCTAGCTATATGGCTTGATTAGACCAAGTCCAAACCCACCAACATGCTGACCGTACATTTTTTTGGACAGTCGAATAGAAACAATAGATAATACTCACTAATTATATTTGTAACATATGTTATTTTTAAGCCTACGATAATTTTTTACTCCAAAATTGTATTTTTTTAACATGTACGGTTGAATATTTCAATTTTTTGTTAGAAAGAATGGATTCAAATTTTTCGTTCTTGAGTCGTTTATAATGATTAGATTTATCTCCTTTTTTTTATAATTTTTAGACATATGATGTACTTATTACGTAACGATGATGTCAATCATTAAACACATTTGCTTGAACTTGAAATTTATTTACAAATATAGATTGGCATATGGATTTTCTTGGCAATTGATTGTAGTGTGTTGTTAATTCGTTGTTGGAGATTGTGTGTTTGTGAAGAAAGTTCAGAAATTGCTATCTCGAGTACTTTCTTCTTTGATGGTGAGTTGACAAACAATTCTGCAAGTGCTACTATAACACAATCAAACCCCTCATTCATAGTTGCTTCACAATTGACTTGCCATACCGTATATAATCACGGATTTGGAACCTTTCCAAAGGTTGCAATGATCGTCTACTTTATTAAAGGTGGAGATTGCATTATTAAGTGACAAGAGTTTACCGCCCATCTGATGTGTTTTCGAGGAACAATGCATCCACCGTTTCACATTGACTAATTGGCAGAAGAAACAACGTCATATTATTCCATCCGTGTGAATCTGCACGTCATATTATTCCATCCGTGTGAATCTGCAAGATGCATAAGTCAACAATGTAAAGCTGATAAACTTTCTCCTTAGAAAAAGTTATCAACTTTCTGCTCTTTTGAGCTTTAGCCTCGCCAAAAGCAACGAAATTGATCCACAACAATCACAAATGAAACTGTTAATGTTGGTGCCAAAAAGGTGCATTTCAGAAACGCTATTTTGCAATATCAACTTTCAACAAAAGAAAACAGAAAGACAATTTACTGTATAATATATGCAAGTTAAGCTTTAGTTTTCCCGTTTCTTATGAATATAACCCGAAACGGTAAACTTTTTATTAATTAATTTAGTTCTTATATACTAAAATTGGAATATGTAATTTAGTGATTTATTCTCTGCCTTTCAAAATAGTTAATGAATTTCTTATAATCAACAATAATAATAACAATAATATTAATAATACTAGACTACCTTAATTTATTATACGTCAAATCAAGGATTAGCTTACGTACAAAGTGCATGCATGGTGCCCAATATTTTTATTAATTAATATTGCTTTATCGTTTTGGGGCCAACAAGTATAAAGTGGCATGCTGCCCATTGACAAAATGTAAATAATTCCGGATGCTATGCTGTAATCCACCTAGTAAGTGGTGTTGTATACACCTTCACCACATTACATGTGCTTTGTAACACTTTATATCTATTTTTTAATATATTATATTTGTAAAAAATAAGTAGATGTAAATGTATTAAAAAAATATATAATGATATTATATTAAAAATAGAACAAAAATTTACTGAACAAATAACTTGATACGAGTTAATACTTAAAAGAAATTTCTAGATATTCACATGGAAACATAAAGTAACTTTGTATTATTCTAATCCTTTACGTGTGAAAATACTTTTAAACGCTAGTTTAAGGATTCACTGCAACAAGTTTAAGAAATTTCTTTGTATAAACTGCCATCTTTTTTCGATCATTCTCAAAGAGGGAAAGTTATACGACAAATGCCAAAAAAAATAAAAATAAAAATAAAAAAGTTATACGACAATTACGTTTAACATGCATAAGTTAATACTAGACATAATGTCAATTCAACGATTTAATTAAACAATCAAACAAATAATTTAAGGAATAACATATTTTAGTCAATGTTCTATACATAGGAGACTTGGTCCTTAACGATAATCCCTAGATTAAAATTAGTGATTATTTCTTTTAATAAAAAGCTTTTTAAAATAAAAGTTTTTGGATTTTATTTTTGGCTTGAAAGCATAAAAACATAGGACAAGATAAATCCGTGCGTAAAGAACAAGTAATTAGGTAACCGACACTTCCATTAACATGTTATATAGAAGATTGAAAGTGACATTTAATTGAAACTTGTCCAAATTTAAAATAAAAACAAAGCAAGAAATTGCAGAAACCAACCTCTATTTTTTAGATCGAATATGAGTCCTTAACAAATTAATACCAGTTCACATCAACCACATAAGCTTTAGGTTTCAAAGCTACCGTGTGCCATACCTTCAGAGTATTTAATATTTTTTTGACATGAAAAGAAAATTTTAATTTTAGTAGTTATTTATAGATGACTGATTTTAATTTGACGCAAAATATTATTTTTGGGAGAGATTTTTCTTTTTCACATAAAATAAATTTTACTTTTTACTTTTTCAGTATTTAGTAAAAGTATGAGTCAAGATTGATGTCAAGTCCATCAAGCGAGACATATAAGATAATTTGTCAAAAATTGACGAATAAATTATTTTTATTAAATTTTAATATATATTTTTCTCATAAATTTTGTACATCAAACATAAACCATAAAATAAATATTTTACATCAAAACAAATGAAGTTAAGATGTTCAATTCTTGAAGCAACTAATACTGACAAGATACATTAGTGCTTGAAGTTTTTGACATAATTGAAAGTTCACACACACACACACACACACACATATATATATATATTTATATTGCCGGGTCGACAATATATATTTGTTTAACATGCAAATTAAACACTGGTTATAAATTAAATCGATCCATGGCCGGCGTTTATAATCAATTATGCACATGTACATAGGTCGACTAAATAATCATGAAATAAGGTTGAGTAGACAGAGAATTGTTCAATAAGAGATCAGTTCTAAATTCCAATGATTTCATGCTCATGTCATTTTAATTTAGTTTTTTATTTTTATAAAATTAATTTCCAAAGTAGCTGTATGACTGACTCTTAGCATTAATAGGGTTTTAAAGGAATGAAACACATGATCAAAGCTAATTTTGAAACATTAATTTATTATTGTTAAAAAAATTTAATATTAAAATTACACTCTCCACCCCTTAAAATTTTAAAACAAATGATTACTAATATAGTACTCCATCAGAGAGCAGGTAGGAGCCCATCATTGTCCTGGTTGTGTTACTTGTGTATGATTTTTGTGTCAATATACATCAAATCTTGTTTTGAGTTCAAATATTTGTCATTTTCCGTATTTGGTTGTAGGTAAAATATCGCAAAATATCACACGATCTTCGACATAGTAGTATAACTTTACTATTCTTAAAGAGAAAAGAAGGGGAAGTTCGAGTTTGATGGGGAGATCCGTTTTAGCCTCCACTTAAGCTATCAGTGGATCACTTTAACAAATAAGTCTAATTAGTCTGTAACTCTAATTTAGACCTGTCAATAAATCAGATCTAATCCAAATTTGATTTGATTAGTCGGATATGAATTAGAAAAAAAAAATCCGATAACCCAATCATGATCCGAATCTAATAACTCATTAGCTTAATAAATCAAATATAAATTATACTGAACTGATCCGATATATATATATATATATATACTTTTATCAGGTTTTTATTAGAATTTAGAGGTAAAAAAAAAGGTAATCGTAATATTATACATACAATAATGTAGTGTTATCACTCAAATATTAAGAAATATGCTAATATACATACTAATAATGTCATAATATTTATTCATTAACAAAGAGTAAATGATTTTCTTTTTCTTTTTCTTCCATATTTTATTATCTTTTGTTTTTTATCAATTTTTTTTTTAATCATAGTTATTTATTTATTTTTTTAACATTCATTTCGTTTTTTTAATATATAAAATTAGATATTCGCTGATTAACAAATTGGATATGAATTTATTTATACAAGACTTATTAGATTCGGATTGGACCAGGCATGATCCGGTCCATGGACAGGTTTACCCTAATCCACTGTGCCACCCGTGTCTGTTAGCATTCTTGCACATTTGCTCACAGCATTCATTCACGCGATCAATCTTTCACAGGCAGCAAGAAGCTTAGAAGAGTCTACTTTGCTCCAAACTCATTAACATCATTTACTGGGCAGGAAGCTTCAGTGACGTATGTTTCCCATTTC